TTAGTGGAAATTCCATTTTCTGCAGAAGAAGAAATTGAGAGTAGCCTTTACAGTTTATCTATAGCTCCTTATTATAATATGAGATATTAACTGACAAAGAGCCAACTGACGTCATATCATATATATGAAACATAACGATTTAGCTGAGGTACAATAAAGCGTGGAATAACCTTTATGAGTGTCGCCGAAGTACGACTAGTACGCATCTGCAGAACATGCAACATGTCTGCGAATCCACTTAACGGGCGCAAAGACAACAACTTGTGGTTTTTACCTACGTTGCAGAAAATGTTGCAAAAGAGTTATAGAGTAATCATCATTTTCGTGTAGTGCGAACTGCGGTTCTGTTTGGGGGTAAAGAAAGGAGACTAAATTAAGGAGAAGTTGGGGAGAAGAATATCCTTTTTTTTTTTCATAAACATCTCAATGTAAAGTCAGGAGCAGGGATTGAAGAGTGAGGAAGTTTATTGGAATATTGGTAATATCATTACATAACTTATAAGGAACAGAAGGTTCTGATTTTACAGTTCTTAAGAATCTAATTAATTAGAATGAAAGTAGTGTCGAGAAGAGTTAGATGAATCGAATGATCCGAGCATAAATAAGAAAGTGAATGAATTAACGAATTATATAGATGAATGGAGGATCAAAGAATAATTAAATGAATCTTCAATTTAATGAATTGAAGAAGTGAATGGGATTAATGGATGGATGAATGAATCGATGAATGATTGAATGAACCAAATGAATGAAGCTGATGTGTGGTTCGAATAGGTCATATATGAGTGGATGAGTGAATATCAAGTCATAACGCGGATATGAACAAGCTTAAATCAAAAATATGAAGAATAGGAAGTATAAGACAGGAAAATAAATGATGATAGTTGAGAAGTACTTTTAATTGGACAATACTTTACGACCAACTGGCTCTGAGTACAAGTAGACTTGTGTCCACTCATTTCAATCACACTGACCCTCAAAAACAGTTGTGAGTCAACTCAATTACTTTCGCGTCTCTCTTTTACGCCACGCCTCGTTTGTCCTCATTCTATTGCAAACAACTTTTACTTAGCTCTTTTTTTCCGCACTCACCTAATTCCCTCTCCTTGCTCGTAGTGTCCGCTTTGTTCTGCTTGTTCATCTACTATTAAAGCAGCTACATTATCCACTTCAA